TGAGTGACGCCTTTTGAGACAGGGTCGTTCCCGTTGAAACGGCTCGCGCTAGGAAGCTTTGCGGTCAGTAACGGTGCCGGCAGCTGGAGGGAAGGCAGGAGAGCTCCGCCGCTCCTTCTGTCAGGCCTGTAATGCAACTTCCGCGCAAGTTTGCAATAATCTATAAGGCGGAGGCTAACGCTGACCTGGGGGGGGTGAAACACACGCAGGGACGGTGAAACACAACCCCTTTACTTTGGCACAGGGGCCTTGGTCTTGGGGCGGGAGGGGCCAGCTGATTCGAAAGCTCTTTGAACGTCCTTTCCCTTCACCCCCCTCCGGAGCGCGGTGGCTTGCCTGCAAGTCGCAGGAAAAGCAGAAGAAAGGCTTTGATGCTTTTAACTTTTTTTTTTTTCAGTGTGTCGTATCAAATTTTTCAGTGTGTCGTATCAAATTTTTCAGTGTGTCGTATCAAATTTTTCAGTGTGTCGTATCAAATTTTTCAGTGTATCGTATCAAATTTAACGAGAGCTACGCGGAAATGAACAGAGGCTCGAACGAATGGAAGACCGTCCTCGGCGGAGTGCTGTTCTTTCTTGGCGTAACTGGTCTCATCCTCATTTGGCAGAAACATTACAGTAAGTAAACACCGTAGGGTGTTAACTCTTCAGCCAAGAGCAAGATCGGTTGATACCTGTTGGGAAATTAGAGAATCCTCCGTGAGCTGCTCCGGGGGCTCAGAACGGCGTGTGGGACAGCCGTGCCGGTGACCTGGCGGTTGCTGCTTGTTAGTCTCCGAAAACTCGGTTCTGGAGTTGCAGCTTGGTTGGCGATGGGCGGGTACGGAGCGTAAATGTGCGGGAAGCTGACTCGCGGGAAGGTGGAGGTGGTGGAGAGAGCTTTGGCGGGAGGAGAGGAACGGGAGGGGAAAGAGGTGACACGCTGATGATCCCCGAGCTTCCCCTCCCCGTGAAAAACCTCCTGTCGCAAAAGCTTCTTGCCGCCTTGGTAGTAAACGCCACGTTTGGCTTCCTTCCCAGCTAACGCTCCTACCCCGAGGGAGCCTTCCAGCTGCCGTGAGGCAGAGCGCGCGGTTAAAGGGGCGGCTCTCCGTCTTGAGGCTTCATCTACTCGCGGGGGAAGTAGGAGAAGGCTGTCGGCTTGGCTCAAGCCTTTGCTGATGAACGGAGCGGCTGGAGAATTCGGTGCGGGAACCTGGTCCGAGCTCGAACGCCTCGGAGATGGGATGTGGGGAATGTAGGTTTGAACAGAACGAGACGATGGCGTGCATGTGATCGGCACCGACGGCTTTGGTGGGGCCGGGGAGGGGGGGGGAAGCTTTTCGTTAGTGATACTAACTTGTACCCCGGTTCCCAACGTGCCCGTTTTGTATCGCGACGTAACTCTGCCTGCTTTTGAATTGCAGTGTACGGCCCCGTTCCGCACACCTTCTCTGAGGAGTGGCTGTCGATGCAGACGAAGAGGATGTTGGACATGCGGATTAATCCCGTGGAGGGCATCTCTTCCCAGTGGGATTTTGAGAAGAACGAGTGGAAGAAATGAAGCAACTCAGTGGAACCCGCTCTGCTTGAATATGAAATGATTCCATCACCTGCGTGTGACCTCGTTGCTTATGTACTGGAACAACCTCTCCACCTACATAGATGCTAATAAACGTCTGGTTAACTTGAAAGTTTCCTTTTATTGGTCTTCAAACGCGTTTGTCGTGACGGTAATCTGTAGGGCAGGTTGCGGGGCAAAGCCTGCCCGGCTAGTCTCCTCGTGGTTGGCGTCTTGACGGCGTTAACCGGTTAGAGGGAACGTTTCTGGGGCCCGCTGCGCGGAGGTCTCGGCTACGCGTTGAGGTAAGCGGATCGAAGCCCCTGCGGAGGCTCGGCGTCCCGTAAGCCGCTCCAGAAATGGCGTGTCGGCGCTCCGAAGGGCAGCAGCGCGAGTCAAGCCGTGTGGCGGGGATCGGCGCTGCTCCCCCTGTCTGTCCTCGCGAAGGGAACGTGTTCGCAAGAGCGCGGGCAGGCTGCAGGCCTGGCTCCAGTATCCCGTGCAGACTGAGCGTGGGCCGGCGGTGTGCCCAGGCGGCCAAGAAGGCCAACGGCATCCTGGCCTGTATCAGAAATAGTGTGGCCAGCAGGAGCAGGGAAGTGATCGTGCCCCTGTACTCAGCACTGGTGCGGCCGCACCTCGAATACTGTGTTCAGTTTTGGGCCCCTCACTACAAGAAGGACGTTGAGGTGCTGGAGCGTGGCCAGAGAAGGGCAACGAGGCTGGTGAGGGGTCTGGAGAACAAGTCTGATGAGGAGCGGCTGAGGGAGCTGGGGTTGTTTAGCCTGGAGAAAAGGAGGCTGAGGGGAGACCTCATCGCTCTCTACAAATACCTGAAAGGAGGTTGTAGCGGGGGGGGGGGGGTCGGTCTCTTCTCCCAAGTAACTGGCGAAAGGACGAGAGGAAATGGCCTCAAGTTGTGCCAGGGGAGGTTTAGGTTGGACGTGAGGAAAAATGTCTTTACTGAAAGAGTGGTTAAACATTGGCACAGGCTGCCCAGGGAAGTGGTGGAGTCACCATCCCTGGAGGTATTTAAAAGACGTGTAGATGAGGCGCTTAGGGACATGGTTTAGTGGGCACGGTGGTGTTGGGTTGACAGTTGGACTCGATGATCTTAGAGGTCTCTTCCAGCCTTAATGGTTCTATGATTCTAAGCATTGCTGGGACGAGGGAGGCGTTCCTCCCAGGCCTCCTCCTCTTCACCCTCCCCAAAAGGCTGTGAAAGCCCCAGGGAGCCCAGGAGAGAAACCTGAGCCACGCCACGGCCCCGGATCCTTATTTCATCCTCTCCTGCCCTGCACCGGCCGCTCTCCTCGGTCCCCTCCGCCTGCCGGAGCAGCCTGCCACCGGTAAGCGAGCTGAACGTGCTGGGGCTCGGCACGCTCCCCTCCTGACGCGTGTTCCCCTTCCTCCTGCTCGCAGCGGTGGGATGCACTGTTAGAGGGGGGGCAGATCTCTCCACCTGGGATTTTCGGGTGCTTATTTGCAGATAGCCTTGGAGAACAAGAAGCCCCCCCGAATCCTGAGCCTGGGGAGAGAAAAAAAACCATGGGGAGCGGAATGAGCAAGGTACCGGGGGGCCAGCGGGACGGTGGCCAGCATGTCCTCCTCCGGCAGGACCTTCCTCCTGCAGCCCAGGGGGACGCGTGTTCCCAGACCGCCACGATGCCCTTAAACACAACCGTTTGCGTCTTCCCTTTCTCATTCCCCTTCGAAACTTCAAGCGCTTAAGCAGGGGGATTAAGAAAGCAAACAGTGATCCCCGGGTTTATATCCGAGGTGATGAACTAAGCGTCTGCGGGTGTTAGAAAAGCGGCAGCTGGCTTTGGCTGCTCGTCCCTCGGGCGGTGAGGCCACGGCATGAAAATCCTCAGGGCTGACGGGGGTCCCTGTGGGGAAATTTCCTCCCCTTGCCACCCCCGGGACATATCTGTGCCTGGCAGCCATGCGCTGTGAGGGGGGAAGTGGGGGTTTTACTGCTGCTCGTTGCTCAGCTGAACTCCAGGGCTGGCAGAGGGGATGGATTTCTGTTTGTACCCTTAAATAACCACTTGGTGTGCGCGTTAACCCAGTTTAAAATTAGACTCTGGGACGACAACGGAGAGACCAGATCGGGGCAAACTCTCTCTGCACGGCTCCGGAGTGATTTAACACCAGGGTTTCACCCCCTGCAGACGCAGCCTGACCTGCAAAGTGGCTTTTACAGCCTCCCCTGTGCCCCCAAACCCTCTTGGGGAGCCCGGGCTGCCTTTGCCGGGGGCTGGGTTGGTGCAGGCACATTTGCGTTGCGGGATCTGGCTTTGACTTGATGAGACGCGGGGTTTGGCATCCCCCTTCTAGCGATAACAGCTTTGCCGCGCTGGGCGCAGACGTTTGCTGAATCCAGGTGTTTGCACCCCAGAAGCGGGCTGGGGTTCAGCTGAGCGGTAGAGGTGGGCTGGATGTGACCCAGAGCTGTTGAAAACCCTTCCTACGGCCTCTCAAACCAGGCGTCTTCTGCCAGATGGGTGCAAACAAGTCCAATTGGGAACCAGCCCTTCCTTCCTGTGCCCCTGGAAACGGCTCGGGTGGGCTCTTACACCCTGTAAATGCTCTGAGCTGCCCCTTTTTCTCCTTCGTAACCCTGCAGCAGCGAGTTGGAGACCAAATTTGCATACTCGACAGCGCTTACTGCAACATCCTGGCCAGAAAAGTAGTATAAATAGCCTGTGCCTTTGCCCATCTATCCCCAGCTGGCGGAGGCAACCTTTGAAAATATTTGCAGGAGGTGGTTGCTATAGAACAGCAAAACAAAACCGAGCTGCAGCGGGGAGCCAGGGCGATGGGGGGGATCCCCGCTGAAGCCCGACCTTGAAGGAGGATGCTGGGGTGGGCTGAGCTGTTTGGGGAATCCAGCCCCCAGCACGGCCTTTCCGATAGCAATAGGACCAAACGCAGGCCCCCTCCATTTGTGTGCTGAGTTTTCCTGAGCTCGGCGCTCCTGGAGGGGTTTGGGCTGGTGGTTTGAGTGGGCTCAGGCTTTGCTGTTCGTTAACGAAGGTGGCTCACTGATTAGGTGCTTGGTTTATCATTGCCTGGGGAGTTTGCTGCCAGGTGCCCTGGTCCCGCTGACACCACGCATGCGGCTTGTTGCTCCCGCCATGTCGGATGCACGTTGTGCCGGGCGCCGTCCGAAATCTCTCCCCTTTTTGTCACCTCCCAGGTTGTCAAAGGCCTCTACCTCGGGAACATCCGCGGTGAGTGCCTTTCCCCGCTCCACCTCCGCCTCGCTGTGGGATCCCCGGGGGAACTGGTGGGGCTGGAGGAGCCCCTCTCCTCGGGGGGGCTCCCTGTGCCTGCTCCTGGCTGGGGACCTCAGCATCTTCTAGAGATCCAAAGCCCCAAAAAAGCCTCATCCCAATCGCAAGTGGCCCCGTGCAGCTCTAGCCCAGGAAAGGGACAGCCGCAGGGACCCCCAGCCATGCCGGAGCACCGGGGAACCCCTGGCATGGCTGGAAACCTCCTCGTGTTTGCTGAGACAATATTTACAGCAGGCCATGGCTTTCTCGCTGGGGCCTCTGGCCCCGCGGGGAGCAGGGCGAAGCTTGGGTTTCACCCAACAGCGGAGACACGACAGCCTTTTCCAAATGAGGAGTATAATTTCTGATTCTGGGGGTGTTTTTAGGAGCCTGCTGAATACCCAGTGCATCCGAGGGGGATTTTGCTTTGAAGGAGGTGCATTGCGATGCCCGGTCTCCTTTCCTGCATCGTGCAGGGTGAGAGGCAGCGGGAAGGGGCTGGCATGGGGGTCGAGGGGCCGGGGGTGATGGATATGGGTTGCTGGTGGGTGCTAGATCCAGCGGATCTCCCAGGAGGGCAGGCGACTCACGTGCTGCCGCTCCT